CTGCACATGAAAAACGAGGGGGTTGGGCCAGATGGCTGCTGAGGTCCCTTCCCGATACGTCACCGGGAAAAGCCTATCCCTCTACCTCCCTGTGCCAATCCCATTCATCCTAGGTCTCCCCCGAGCTTTCCTTCACACAGCTAAGCAATACTGGAAACTGATAAACCCAGCTTATCCTTCTGACCAGGCCACAAAACAGTGCAGGACAAGCATGCTGGACGACACAGTAAGTACGTTTATGAAAAAGGCTCCGAAAATGGATTCAAGGGCTCTCTGGTTCAAAAAGTGCAGGAAACATCAAGAAACAGATGAATTCCCATAAGACCTAAATGATAAGAAAAGCATTTTAGGCAAATGAAATCAAGCCCAAATCCTCTCACAGCAGGTCTTTGAAGTCTACGAGAGAAATTAAATCACTAATCTTTAGTTATCTGCCTGGACAGCTAGAACAGTGCAAAGTCTTACTGGAGAAGACCACATTAACAAAGTCAATAATGATAACTAGCACTCACAGGTTTGCAAAGTGTTTTACAAGGATCTATCCTTCCAACACCCTGGGAGATGGGCGCTATTATTGCACACATTTTACAGATGGAGAAACTGAGGCAAGCAGAGGTCAAGTGACTTGTCCAAGGTCAGAGAGCTAGTTGGCATCTGAGGTCAAATCTGAACTTAAGATTTACTTCAGGCCCAGTGCTCTATCCACTGTATCACCTAACTGCCTTGAGAGAAGCCTAACCAACAATTCTGGGTCGATAGTTTGTAAATGCTCATTCTTCTTCTCTAGGAAACCCAAATGGTGTAGAATTCTTAAATTAACTTAACCCAAAATGAAGATACTGAAGATCTGGCTCAATGGCTTCAGCCTGAGTTATTACTAGATTTGTCTAATTATGAACCTGGCAGAAATGACTATCATAAACTAAATTTCAGTTCAACACATGACGCCTGCGATATAGTCTCTGTTAACTTCCAAGCAGTCTTTATTGGCAAAGTCTAATCCCAACAGTCCAGTCAAGTAATAAGGCTTTTTATGGTTGCACCATAAAAAAAGTGAACCAAAAACAAGTTTCTGCACTATACAACAGTGTTGTACTGCTGACCCAGGATGGCACAAGTAAACTAGTCACAAGAAAAGCATAATCTATGATATGCTGGTCACATTCCTTTGATTCTTAGCATAAGACTGAGCATAATACCACAGACTTAAAGAAAGAAGGGATCTGAGAAGTTGTCCAGTCCAACCTCCTCATTTTACAGATGAGGAAACAGATGTAGAGCTGAGGTCACTGGCTCAAGATCACACATGTAGTAAATAGCTGGATCCGAATGCAAGTCCTCTGACTACAAATCCAGCATTCTTTCTACTACACCAGGACATATCATTACATTTACTTTGTTGGGAAAAAAAAAATTCTCCTACTATGATGCTTCACCTTGGTGTCAAAGGGGCTTTGGCTTCTTCAAGACTATGCCAGGGAAGTCCAAGCTCTGGCAAATTTTATTAAGCTAGAAAAGCTTTGATCCTGAGCCTGGGCCTGGTGATGGGCTCTATGTTTGTCATTCAAACCCCAGACTAACAAGTTTACAGAAACTTGTCCCTAGACGGACCTCATGGTAATGAAATTTTTAATCACAGCAACACAAGAGTCACCAATTATCAAGATACGGATGATGTCCCAATGAAGGGATCCATATGAAGGAAATAACTGAGTCTTTTAAGTATGTGTGAGGTAACTTGCTAAGTTCTATACATACAAAGCTCTCAAGGAATTGAATCTAATGCTTCATATACAACTTTTTTAAAATTCCCAGCATCTGGCTTTAAATAGAGTAATAAATGTCTGTTGGAGTGAATTCAACAATTACCTAATATGGGGTAGAGATAGACTGAAAGACAGCTAAAATAAGAAAAATAATAATTAAAAACCCTAGGTAATAGGCACTAGAGATCACCCAGGGAAAAGATTGTTTTCCTGAATATCTTAGAGATCTCTATCAATTTGCATAGACAGAAATTAAGCATCCAGACAGGCACATTATCACCATGGCGATGTCTTCATAAGAAGACCTGATGCTTTTGGTTAGCTATAAACAAGGAGAAGAAACTTGAGGCAGATGCTCTGATCAGAAGAGACTTCAGGCATACTAGGGAGTACCTGTTTTATTTTAAATTTTGCATACGTTCTTAGAGTTGAAGGGTTTCCCATAACTGACAAGATAATACCAGGTCAACTAATGATCTATCTTTATTTACATCTGCCATTATATCAAATTTTCATAACATAATCAACTTTATCTTTCTTGTTGCCTTATTGACTGCTAAAATTATATAATTGTTTCTCCTCCGAGAAGAGCATATATGTGGAAGCAAAGTAATCTCCAGTATATCCAACAGCTAACACCTCAAAAGTATGTCTTAAGTCCTTTAAAAGCGAAACAAAGCAACAGCTTAAATATACATTCTGAGTCCACTCCTTTAGATTGAGTTCTTTCTCATGTCAGACAATTGTAGCTGCAGGAAGGGGAAGACCACAAGCTGCTAGGTTAAATGACTTGTCACACAATTCTCTGGTGGAAGATTTAGTCTCTACCTTGATAAGAATTACAAGGAAACGAAAAATGACTATTAAAAAATACTATTTCACATGGAGACATAAATCATTCCTAAAACTGCATCTGCTGTCCAATGGAAAAAATTTAAGTACCTATTTCCAAAAAGCTATGAATGAAGAAAACTGGTTTAAAAAATTAAAGCAACACAACTACTAGTTCCCAATTGAGGACAAAAAAAGAAGTTAGTCTCTTATGTAGATAACTTTTAAAACTCTTTAATGAAAAAGAAAATCTAGAAAACCAGTCTAGTTATCATCCTTTATTTGGATTTCCAGCTTCTTCATTCCCTACCCTTAAAAAAAAAGAGTCCAAATGACAATGTATTATGCATTTTTAATACTGATATTATAGACTCAAGATGCAGAATGAGACATACATACTCGGACATGGAAAGTGTGGAAACTTGTTTTGCCTGACTGTGTTTATCTGTTACAAAGGTTTTGATTTTCTTTGAAATTTTTAAAATCTGGGGTGGGAGAGATAATAAATGTTTGTTGTCTGAAAAACAAAATAAAAATTTAAATCTGAAGAATGCAATAAAGTAAAATATTGAATTACAGTGATATCAGATTATAAGAATTAGAAATCAAAATGAATGTTGAATAGATAACTACAGACTATGAGTTATGCTTCTTTAAAATGAGTAACGGCTATTACTGGATAGTCACAAATAAACTGATGCTAAATGGAGCCAAAAGTAATGTAACTTTCTTTAACAATTTTGCCAAATAATTTTCCAAATTGTTTTGCTTAAGTCACTGTACATTTACATTCCTTAGGCACTCACCAACAGATGGTAGGGTTATGATACAAATGCACCAGAAATAATTCACAATGTCAATAATCCACAACACAGAAAATGAACAGTTAACCATAAAAGGCATAATGCTTGGCTCCCAGGTAAACATGGGTTTATGATACTCTAAAATCTTTGGTTCACTCCATAAAACAGGTTTGGACCTCTTATACAATAGACAAAATAACATCTCTGCATGTTACAAAAATATTCTCTCTGTATCTTGTGAAGTAGACCATCTAATATTCCTTCCTAGCCACAGAAAAGATTTATCTTGTGTCAATCAATGAACATTATCAAAATGATTTACTGATTAAACAAATAGAGCTTACTTCCTTTTTTGAAAAGTATCAATTAGAAAAATTAGATGGATACTGAGCTAGATGCTACATAGCATATATTTTAAGTTTTATATTTAGATTTCACTAAGAAAACAAGATGAAGAGGTATATTTTAGGACTCAGACTTGTAATGATTCCAAGTTTGAACCAGAGTAAATCTCCAGTCTACCCTGCCTAAACCCACTAACATTCCCCAAACAGGGGATGGATTTCCTGGAAATAATTTTTCTGAATAACTCAACTTACAAGAACCTCATTTAAAAATTGGCTTTCTTATTTTCACGGGGAACGTGAAAAGTCAAAACTCAATACAAGGAGCACTCTATTTTTCCGTGTGTGGGGAGGGGGGGTGCTGTGGGTGTATGCATGCATGGCAGGGATGGAGGACAGACACACAGGAAGGAGAGGAGGGGGAGACTGACAGACACACAGGGAAGAGGGATGTGGGGGGATGTGTGGAAGGGAGACGGACACAGGAGAGTGAGATACAGGCAGGGAGACGAAGACACACACACAGGAGGAGAGAGGAAGAGAGGGACGGGGCGGGGGAGAAGAGAGAGAGGGGGAGAGGAAAAGAGGGGGGGGGGGGGCAAAAACTGACATTCACAGAGGGAGTAAAGGAGAGAGGGAAACAGAGACACAGTGACAGAGGGAGGGAGGGGATACGATGGAGGCAGGGAGCCGATTGGGGGTGGGGGGAGAACAGAAATAGATCGCTGGATAGAGTAGGAGAGATAAACAGGGGCAGAGGGAGAAGTAGAGAGAAGGGGGGGAGGGAGAGAGGGAGATTGATTGCTGCTCGTTCCCCTCCCCCCCATGCATTTCTGAGACAGACTTGCAGGAGGGGGAGTTTCCGTTCGAGAAGGAGCAGGTGTCAAGTGCAACAAACTCCGAACCCCCCAAGGAGCCGAGCTGCACCCTGGGGGAGGGGGAGCGGCCCAAGTAGGTCAGGGTTACAGTTGCACCCACGTTGCACGTTGATGCGCAATTGTCTGCAAACTTAAGCTCCAACTTGAGCCTAGCTCCGCAGCCGCAGCGCAGAATCCGGGCTGCCGCCCCCCCCCCTCCTCGCGGACGCCCCGCAGAGCCGAGCCCCCCGCCCCCCGGTCCCCGCGCCTCGCCCAGATCCGAGCCCGGGCCTCCCGACGCGGCCCCGCGCGCCGCCAGGCCAGGCCCGGCCCGGTCCTGCCGCCCGCCCCAGGCCCCGCGCGCCGCCGCCCGCCTCCCCCTCTCGCAGCCGGCCTCACCGTTCTGGTAGTGCGGCGTCGGGCTCGGGCCGGCGGGGGCGGCCGCCGCTCCGAGCCGGGGCGGGATCCTGGCGCTGGCGGCGGCGGCGTGGGGGTGCGGGGCGCCGGCAGGGGCGGACATGACCGGCGGCGGCTCCGGCTCCTCGTCCGGGAGGGAGGGAAGGAGGGAGAGGGAAGGGAAAGGGGGAGGGGAGGCGGGAGGAAGAGGAAGGAACGCGCCGGGCGTCACCAAAGGGATCGAACCGGAACTTGGAAGTCGGGGGCGCGCCGGCGTTCCACGGGAGAATCGACGCTACGCCAGCCGCACGCCGCCGCAGCTCCGCCGCTGCCGGGAATCCCTGGCCTCGCTGTCGTCCGGCCCGGCCCTCCGCCCGCCTCCGCTTCCCCCGCCTCCATCTCACGCCGCCGTCACAGCGCCCCCTGGCGCCGGCGCCGGGAGCCGCGAGCCTCGCGCACGCCCAAGCGAACGTGTCAGCGCCCGAGACGCGACGGAGCTTTCCGACCTCCGTCCCCGTGGTGATGCCCTGGAGCAGACCCTCCCTTCGTCTCCCTCCCCACTCCAACCCCAGCCTTTCCCGGGTGTATCCCACAACTGATGGAAGGCGGGGAGCCCGGGGATTGGCCTCCCGCAGCGAGCCTCGGAAAGAGACCGCTGCATCGCGGGCTTCCTCAGAGTTCTAGACCCGGAGCGTGCCGGGGCCGGGGGAGGGGGGGAAGGCCTCCAGGGACTCGGTTACCGCCAGGATCCTCGTTTTACGAAGGAGTCCCGAGGCTGGGCGGGCGAGGCTCCGCTCCGCTACGGCGGGAAGAGCTCTCAGTTTGGAGGCAGAAGGTGAGTTCGAATCCCACCTCTGCCTCTTACTCCCTGGGTGGTAAGTCGAGTAACTTCTCCGGACCTGTAGAATGAAAGAATTGGACTAAGTGACCTCAAAAATCCAAATCTGCATACACTTTTTTTTTAATATGAGTTCCATAACACTAGGTATTGTCTTTCCCCATTAGAATGTAATTAATTTTTATAATAGCCTAGCATTTATAGAGCACTTTTTAAGGTTGGCAGAGTGTTTTACATAACGTTAATTAGAGTTTTTTGTTTTTGTTTTATATATTCCCCTATGCTTAGCACTGGGTTTGGTACGTAGTGAATGCTTAATAAAGGCTCTATTTACCCATCTCTTCCACGTACCCATCTCTGTATCGATCTATATATCTGCCCTATGTACTTTTATATCTATAGCTATATAATCTAGCTAGTTTATCTATATCTACTTATCCTTCTATCTTTACCATCTATGGATCTTTCTATATATTTGCCCTATCTATATCTACTTATCTATCCCGTCATCTATCTATTCTATCCTATCCTTTCGATTTATCATCTATCAAGCTATATCATGTACATATCTATCCTTCTATCTATTTAAGTCTACTGAGCTATCCTTCTATACTATCTATCCTATAGAATCTATATGTATCTAACCTCATCCTATCCATCTAGACTACTGATCTATCTTATCTATCTAGATCTTATCTTATCCATCCTATCTATCCTTCCATCTATCTATCTATCTATCTATCTATCTATCTATCTATCCTTCTGTCTATCTAGCTATCTTTCATCTATCTCCCTTTTACATGTGAGAGGAAAGGTAGGTTTAGAGAAGTGACTTTGCCCATGGTCACACATTTATTAAATGCCCACAGTGACAATTCAAACTCAGATCATCCTGACTACCTGGCCCACAACCTGCAGCTTAAGAAAACTCTTCATTTTACCCTTTCAAAGTCTATCATATGTCACCATAGAATTTAGAATTGGCAGGAACCTTGTAGATCCCTCAGCCCAGTGGTTCACAATCATTTTTGACCCAGGGCACTTTGGCTTTCAGAAAACTTTCCAATAACTCTATTTAATAGAAAGGAATAAAATTCTAGAGTTCAACATGCATATGCACATAAGCAAATGAGATTAATTTTTCATAAACCTTTTATTTGATTTGATAAGTGGTATTTTTTCAGTTTCATGAAGTTGTTCTCTTTCTATTCCACTATTTTTCCCTACCCCTTCCCCCTTCATTCAGGTACCCCACAGTTGGGAATCCAAGATTTAGTCCAGAGGTGTCTAATATGAAGCCTGGGGCTGCAGGTAACACTCGCAAGTCCTACCCTAAGGAAATGGAAATGTCATTACGAAAATTTGACAAAATAATCTATTTGAATTTGACACCCTCTCATTTAACAGTTAAGGAAATGGGTCCTGAGAAGTTAGGTGACTTACTCCAGGTCACACAGCAAGTATCAGAGTGGGTTTTTGGTCCTAGAGCTCTATGCTGAGGGTTTTGGTTTTTGTTTTTTTTTTTACTACACTGAGCTGCAATAGCTCACAAACTCTCAATACTCAAACTCTATTACCACAAAATCTTCCTACCTTGCCCTTTTCAAAGCCTCTTTTTAGTGATAGCTGCCAGTATCTTTCACTTTTCTCTTTTTTCTTCATGATTTTTTAGGCTCTAAGGTAAAGGAAAAAAACAATGAATCTTTTCACCTTTCAATAAGTCTTATTTCAAAAGTCATCCTTCAAAAATCTTTTCACCTTTCACTGATCAAAAAGAAAGTCAAAAGAGATGGTAAAAACATGTGGTAAACATTTATTAAGCACCTACTATGTGCCAGGCACTGAGGACAGTTCTGCCCATCACTTGAGTCTAAGAAACATTACAATTGTACAACACAAAATCACAAGCATGGAACTTATGTATAATGTTAATTTTTGGTATCGCATGTCTGTTTTATTTGGTGGTATATAGTTGAATGCTTATCTTTTTGTAGTGTGTCACATGTTTTGCCCTTACATTTTAAAGCTATACATAATAAGCTGTTAGAGGGCATAGACCATACTGTAGGTAGACCTCTTTTCTTGGGATCCATATCTTAATTCTTTCTCAAAGGAGAAGAGTTAATACATTGTTCCCAGGTTTGTGGAAGAGTAAAGACTTTAGGGGATAAGGAAGGTAATGCATTTTGACAAGATAAGTTAAAGAGAAGATAATGATTAGAGTGATTGCTAACTAAATACTGCAGCTAGACAGTGAAGTAGATAGAATGCTGGGCCTGGAGTCAGGAAGACCTTAGTTCAAATATGGCCTTAGACTCTTACTAGCTGTGTGACTCTGGGCAAGTCACTTAATCTCTGCTTGTTTCCTCATCTATAAAATGGGAATAATAAAAACACCTATCTCCTAGAATTGTTGTGAGGATCAAATGAGATAATATTTTTGAAGCACTTGGCACAGTTTCTGTCCCATAGTGGTTGCTATAGAAATACTAGCTGTTATTATTGATTCTTGAATTTTTTTCTGACTAGCTGGTTGACTATGGAAAAGTCAACTGACCTCTCTGAAATTCTTCAAGAAACATCTAATCTGTAAAATGATATAATAATGCTTGCATTGCCAGCCCTTGGTAGTTGTAAGGAAACAACTGTTAAATTGTATGGCAGTGTATAAATGTAATGGTGGATGAATTATTTTGTCTTTCACACGATGACATCATCTACAACATTGAGTGTCTAGTTGCTTTCTCTGTTGATGAGTTCTTGACCTGGGGTCTGTGAACTTCTTTTCAAAATATTTTGATAACTCTAATTCAATGTAATTAATTTCCTTTTGTTGAAGAAAGTATTAATACTGTGTCCTGCATTTTAGGCACAAAGTGTGCTGGAAACCATGTAATTGAGCATCAACTGAATATCAAACATACCTAGATAAATAGACCTCCCATAGCCATGGATGTTCCTGTACACTCTATACAAAGGAAGGCAAAAAGATAGTTCTTGCCCTCAGGGAGCTGAGGGTCAAAAGAGGATAACTTCTACTAATAGTCACTTAATAACTACTCTTTGCCTTCCTTCACTACTTTGTGTGACGTGGGAGACATTGGCATAGGACCACTCAGCATGGTGTGCCTACAACAGAAAAGGTACTGTGTGCTCTATGAACAAAGCAGAACTGAAATAGCTCAAGAGAAGCACAGTATGCACAAATTTAGAGAATCCACTGCAAAGGTTCATGCAGACTATTTGTGCCAGACGTGGGGTAGGACATGCTGAGCTCGGATTGATCCGTTCAGCCACAGTCTTTCGCCACACTAAGACCTGACTGCGCTAACGGTGATGTCATTTTGGTCCTCTCCAAAACGAAGGATGAGGAAGGACTCGCTGAAAGACTCTTTTTTCCTGGGATCCATATCTTAATTCTTTCTCAAAGTAGACTAGTACATTATTATAGTAGTTAGTACAATATTCCCAGAGGTGTGGAAGAGTAAGGACTTTAGGGGATAAGGAAGGTAATACATTTTAACAAGATAAGTTGAAGATAAAATAATGAGATAAATTTGGTTTACACCCTAAATCTATTTAAGTAGATGGACTTAGCTTTTGTTCTAACCACTTTCCTGAAGAGAGAAGTCTAGAAAGGATTTTAAGCTAATGAAAATATTGTATTTTAAGTTGAATTTAAAAAGGTTTTTAATATGCTTTCATACTATAATTCTATGTATTCTATGCACTTGAAAACTTTACTTCTCATTATTGTTCTTCAATAGTGCAGGGCTGGAGCTACTGGATGGTGAAGTGGATAGAGCACCTGCCCTGGAGTCAGGAGGACCCCAGTTCAAATCTGGCCTTGAGACTTTGACACTTACTAGCTGTGTGACCCTGGGCAAGTCACTTACCCCCACTGCCTAGCCCCCCCCCAATAGTGCCCCCCCCAAAAAAGTGCAGGGCTAAAGTCAGGAAGACTAATTTTGCTGACTTTATTTATTTATTTTTTTTGTGAGGCAATTGGGGTTAAGTGACTTGCCCAGAGTCACACAGCTAGTACCCTAATTTTGCTGAGTTTAGATCCACATAAGACACTAGCTGTATGACCCTGGGCAAGTCCCTTCACTCTGTTTGCCTCAGTTTCCTCATCTGTAAAATGAGTTGGATAAGGAAGTGGGAATCCACTCTAGGATCTTTGCCAAGAAAACCCTAAATAGGGTTATGAAGAGTAGGACAGGACTGAAAAAATTTGACCTGCATGAGCTACTCCTTCACCCAACTTCAGCCACACACACAGAGTCACACATTGATGTTGC